CAACCCGGTCTTGCGCTTTCTGCAGCCATATTATACCTGCAATCTTTTTAATCTCATGAGCCCACCTAACTTTCTGTGTCCCCTTCGTGCGTTTGCCTTCTCTGAAAATTCCAGTCAGTTACCCTTAATGACCAGCGGTTGTCCTGCCTACGTGCTACGTGCCCGGCCCATGTTCATTTCTTTTTCTTAATTTCAACTATGATATCCTCCACCCAGATTTGTCCCCTGACCCACTCTGCTCTCTTCTTGTCTCTTACAGTTACACCTATTATTTTTCTTTCCATCTCTCGCTGCCTCATTCTCATTTTAAGCTGAACACTATTTGTAAGCCCCCTCTTGCCGATACTGACCTATGGAGCAGAAACCTGCTCCGTAGCTAAGTACCGGCAAGATACAGCTGTTATATACCTTCCTTTTGAGGGTTAGTGGCAGGTTACCATTCATGATTTGAGAATGCTTGCCGAATGTGATCCACCCCATCCTTATTCTTCTAGTTATTTACCTCTCATAGTTTGGCTCCGCGGTTACTACCTGTTTCCTAATAAGACATATTTATTTACAACTTCCAGCGTCTCTCCATCTATCGTAAAGTGCTGTTTTCTGCCGAGACTGTTGCATATTACTTCAGTTTTGTGCATATTAATTTTCAGACTGACTTTTCCGATTTCCGTGTCTAGTTCAGTAATCATGAGGTCCAATTTGTCGCCTGAATTACTCATCAAGGCAATGTCATCAGCAAATCACAGGTTATTAAAATACTCACCATTAACTCTTATCCCTAATTGTTCCCAATCTATAGGGTCCTGAAAACCCCCTGTAAACACGCCGTGAATAGCATTGGAAAGATTGCGTCTCTCTGTTTTACACCCTTCTTTACTGGGATTTTGTTGCTTTCTTTATGGAGAACTATGGTGGCTGTGGATTCCCTGTAGATTTCTTCCAGTATGTTTATTTAGGGCTTTTCGATGCCCTGCCTCTGTAGTGCCTGAACTACTGCTGGTGTCTTGACTGAGTCAAACGTCTTCTTGTAATCTATAAAAGCTATGTATGGTGGTTGGTTGTATTCTGCGCATTACTCTATTACCTGATTGATAGTATAAATATGGTCTATTGTGGAGTAGCCTGTACGAAATCCTGCTTAGTCCTTTAGTTGATCGAACTCTAATGTCACCTTAATTCTATTACAGTAGACTCTCAGTAAATGGAAATCTGTTAAACAGAACTACTGCTTAAACGGAAATATTGCCTCTAGAATACTTGGTTCCGGGCTTGTATTATGCGCCCATGTTCACCTCTCAGTGAACGAAACTCCTGTTAAATGGAACATATTTTCCTGGTCCCTTCAGGTTCCATTTACTGAGAGTCTACTGTACCTATTATTTTTGTAAATAGTTTGCAGAGCTGATCGGCCTGCAATTTTTCAAGTCCTTGATGTCTCCTTTCTTATGGATTAATATGATGTCGCTATTTCTCCAAGATTATGGTACCCTTCCCATCAAGAGACACTTCGAATATAAGGTGGCCTGTTTTTCCAACACAAAATTCTCCACCATCTTTCAGCAGGTTCGTCGTTACCTTATCCTCACCAGCGCTTTGCCTCTTTGCATTCCTCCTAAAAGCTTTCCTTACTTCCCTATCGTTACTGATAGAATGTCAAATTCCTCTGGGCTATTATTGCTTCTTACTATATCATCCTGGTTGTTTTTGACTTCTGTACTCTATAGAACTTCTCTGCCACTTCAACTATGGAGGAGGAGGAGGAGGAATAAATGAGGAAGGACAGGGAGGTTAGCCAGCACTTCAACTATGCTATCCATATTGGCTATGACATTGCCTTACTTGTCTCTTAATGCACACATCCGATTTTTGTCTATGCAAAAGTTTGCCTTCCCAGCTTTTAAGTTTCTGGCACTTTTTACAGCCTGCTCAATTTTCTCCATGTTATACCTTTTGACGTTGGCTACCTTACGCCTATTCATTAACTTTGAAAGCTCCACTAGCTCAATTTTGTCGGCTGCATTTCTGGCTCTCATGGTCTGTCGTCTCTTAATAAGATTTTTTGTGTCCCGAGATAGTTTAGTAGTGTCCTGTGTTCAGTGTTCGTACAGGGTTCCAAAGTGAAAAGTCAAGGATATTTAAGGACTTTCCAGGACCTGTTGCAAGTTTTTCAAGAACTCAAAGCGGCATGCCAAGTTGGAATTTTTCACTCTAAAATTTTCAAAAATGACCAATTTTGCTACACTTACAATATATATATGGATATCATAATTATAAAAAAAGAGCGTAGTCCTAATAACTTCTTGCACCCTCTCCCACACTCTCCATAGAGTGAGGGCACGATGCCATGTCGAGAAGTTACGCGCTGATAGGCTTCCACGCGCATGTGTAGTCAGGCCTTAAAGGGGCCGTGCCATAATATTTGTGTCTTGCACGCTCCTTTTGCAAGCTTTAATTATAGCTCCAATAAGCATGATACATGCACCAAGATTAATTTATTCTCGCTATATAATTTGTCACCTTTCTGATATGAACAATTTTCAGTTCCTGTTTGTGGGGATCAAGTTGGGCAGGTACTTAGCCGTGTAGCTGACTTAGTCACATGATAACAAAGCCTTGCATGCGTCATGCTGAGTATTGTTAGCTCTCGCACACATGTGCCACACAAGCACCTGCAAAACAAACTCGCCGCTACCTGCAGCAGCCGCGATGCTTTGCCGGTATGTACGGGATGGAAGTTAGGACGTCACTCACCTGACTACAGATCTGGTGTGATGTCACTAGAACTTTTGTTGCCCTTCCTGTAGAGTTACGTCAGTGTTAGACGCGCTCGCGATGGGTCTCGATTAGGAGAATGAGCCTTTAGGTACACTTGGGAAGTGACTTGAAATATATTCTTAAACCCAGAAGGTGCTTGCTATAGCCTTGAAATTTGACGGCACCACCCCATCAAGAGTGCCGGCTTGTGCACAGTTGACACTCGCAGCACGTCGCTCAACAACCAAGAAGTAGCAACTGTGACAGTGGCTAATTTACACTCAACCTTTGGATACATGTGTTTTCTTTTCTAGCCCCGTTCTTGGCTTGTTTAAGCAGCACGCTTCTAATGTCGAGCTATGACAGTCGTTCATCGGCACTCGTTCTGTGCGTTTCCTTTTCGTGCGTCCCTTGTGCTTGAGCGGCGCGTTGCATGTGTGGCATTGCTTGGCCTTCTTCGTGTGACATTCTAACTTTTGCTATGACATTCACTGCTTCACCCTCGCCACAAACTGACTTTTTTTTTCGCATGCACTTTTGCAAAATGGGATCATGTGCACCCACGCCGCATTACTGCTTCAGAAATGGGGAGTTTGACACGTTCACACACCGATGTACCACATTTAGGAGGTCGCAATGTCGATATGAGAGCGCACTGCTCAGGAAATTCAAGGATTTTCAAGGATGGCAAAAAATTCCACGACTTTCAAGGGCCTTGAAAATGCACTTTTTAAAATTCAAGGGCTTTCAAGGATTTCAAGGACCTGTACGAACCCTGATAGCACAATCTTTGATGATACTAGTAAGATTATGTACATAGTGTCAATGCTAATGTTGGTTACCTCATTTAGAGCCTCGAATCTATTCTGAGGAGAAACTCTGAATTCCTGTACTTTGCCTCTCAGCGCTAGCTCATTAACTGGGAGTATCAGTTTATGCCTTTGCTGTTTAAATCTAAATTAATACAAGCTCTTACCATTCTATGATCACTGCATTGTATCTTGACAACTATTTCTACATCCTACACAATGCCTAGATGTAACTCCCCTTTGGCATTTCTAGAGCCAATGTCATACTGCATGATCTCCGGCCTGCTTCTTGCCTACTTTGGCATTAAAGTCTCCCATCAGAATAGTATACTGTGACTTTATTAATCGCTGACTGTACCTCTTCATAGAAGCGTTCACACAAATGATCATCAAGGCTTAATGTAGGTGCGTGGGCCTGTACCACCTTCATCTTGTACCTTTTGTTAAAGTTAATTATGATACTTGCCACCCTCTCACTGCTGCTATAGTGTTCCTCTATGTTGCCAGCGATATCCTTGTGTATAAGTCCAGCAGGATACACATGCTCTTATTCCACCGTGTGTCTACTGTCTCCCCCCTCACATTACTAGGGCGGAGGAAGTTGTGCTTAGGAGGCTTCGGGCAGGGGTGGCCCTTACACCGGCCGTTATATCACCATGGAACTGGTCGAATTTACTAGTTGGTTATACGTGTCTGCATTGTACTACTTCAGCGATGCAAGCAGATGCATACCACCTTATATGGACATGTCAAGGATTACAGCCGGAACGCTTCCGTCACCTCCTTCAAGCCGGCCTTTGCTACAGCGACAAAACCAGTTACAACTGCTGGATACAACAACACATTCCACAAGACACTACTTCACTTCATACACAACACAGGCCTAACGGCACACATTTAATACACATATACAAAAATATTATGCCTTAAAGACAAGCAATAAAAAAAATAACCCCACTTTTACTTATTTTCTGTCAACTAATCCACGGTAGCATAGGTCATGTCCGTTCTTCAGCACTGTATACGTTTCATGTGCACTCCTAACTTCGCCGAGTCCTATTGCATCCCATTTACAACCCTCTAATTACTCGAATAGCACAGCTGGACTAGCCTCACTAGATAGCATTCAAGCGTTGAAGGTAGCCAAGTTCAAATTCCAATGATGGGCTATTGAGACCTAGAGATTCTTAGCACCCTCCACTGCGACGCAGGTCTGACCCCTGCCTTGGACAGTTGCTTCATAGCTGCTGGGAATTGAGAGCCAAGAGTTGATTGGTACTTTCATAAGGGAGGTAGTGGCCAAGTACTGCACTAGGGTAGCCAATCCTGATCTGGTGAGGAAGTGCATTACCAGCAGGTGGTCGCCAGTGAAGCTGCATCCTAGACCTCTTCTTTTTACATCGTAACACTACTAAAAACATGTTCAAGTACACTCACCTCCAACATAAAATGACTCCTTCAAATCAACCGGGATACCTCCATTTCCCTGAGACTCCAGGTGATGCCATATCCCTGGTGCTGGTTTGCGATAGAAGCCGTGGCCAACAGACACGTACACTTGGGCTGGTACAGCCAATGCCTTTAAGATATGCTCCACCTTGTTCTTGAAGTCAGCTTCATGGCTCTGGCTTTTAGCCAGACCTCTTTGATTAGTAATGATAACAATCTTGTAGCCTTCTTCTACAAGATTACACAGGCGTGGCTCAGTTTCTGACAGCAGTATCCTGAAAAATTATTTTCTGAAGTTAACCTTGGTATGTAGGCACTGTAGTACCTCTATGTGAAAAAGATTAGCCGAAAGAAGCTCCACATGAGAGAATGCATCTCCTTGTATCAAATGAAATATTCAGTTCATATGATATCTAGATCACCATATAACTAGGTCAACCAGCATAACCTGCTAGTCTTAAACAAAAGAGCATTTCTACAATCTCAAAACTCATTCCACATTCACACGATTGAGATTCTGCTGTTGTAAATATTTTGCGGAAACGCATGCCCTTTCAGCAATTGAAATGTCACACTACTCAGCAACATGCTGTGGAAGCTTCCAGAGTAGCCATATACGTGAAGGAGATGTGTCAAGTAAACACTGTTTACCTCCTAGAAACTTTTTTTAAGTGAGCGTCCAACTTTTGTTACGGAAACTAGTAACTTCCCTTCCTTAAACTAGTATCTTTAGCAAGAACCTCAAATATAAAAGTGACAAAATAGTTGATGTTCCCAGACATATACAGGCCACTTGCAAAAGTAAAATGCCTTAGTAAGAATATGTACTGATTCAGGCCGAAAACAGGTCGTTGGCTGTTTGTTCTGCATGAAATTTTTAAGGTGTCACCAGTGTTTGCAAACCGTCCATCTGAGAAGCTAGAAAGCATGCATGCACCCCTTAAACACATCGCTCCGAAATTTTACTCCTGGATGTGGTACGTCATGTGAAGGTGCATATGGTATTGGAAGTTTACTTTGGGCTTGTTGGGTGAATCCTCTTTGAGCTCTTTTTCACAAATAAAGCAGTCTGTGCAATACAAGTCAGTGTTGCCCAGAATACCAATGTAACCCAATGAAAGAGCACAGCACTGTGTGCAATTAAAAACCAACAAATAAACTTGCAGCACCACTTTTATTAGTAATATTTCTTTTTTTTTATAGAGCTCACACATGCAGCTCAAGGTAACAGAAAAAAAAGACGATAAACAAAGCTTATGCGTGGTTCTACAAAACACGGAGAGTGAGCAAGACAACAACCTTACCGCCAATCAGCTGAGCTTACAGGAAAGACCTTGCCAGACCTGGTAGTGATTAGAGTTCCATCAAGGTCAAATGCAGCGATCTATACACAACAAAGGATCACAACCTTACCAATTCATTCATAAGATCACATACTATGTGAAGAAATAACAAAAACACATGCACAACACATTTTTGGGCTTACACATGATGCAAATGACCTTTGTCAGACTAGAGGATATTTCTTTTTTTTTTTTTATCTGTGTTCTTTTATTTTTATAGCATGATACAATAGTGGATGATTACTTTGTCAAGGCCTTCAGCAGTAAAACTCCTTAACTAAACATGAAGAAAAAAAACTTTCTTTGTTGAATAAAACACCAAATATTAAAGTAAAGCCAGTATTGTGTACAAGCACTAATAGACATCTACATACAGCAAAACAGGGCCATAACTAGAAGGAAGCTGAGGTGGCTCTTACAGACCCAAAATTTTTTGATGCCTTAACTTTTTGGGTGACACTAAAGTATTTGCATGCTTTCATAACCAACACCAGTTGCCAAAGTTAGCTGTTCTACTCATTAATACCCCACCCCCCCAAAAGTATCATGACAAAAAAATAAATTCTATTTGCATGATAGTATTACAATACTACAAAGAAAATCAGCAAGAAGTCAGATTTCCAGCTGGGGAAAAAAAAAGGGGGGGGGGGGGGGGGGGGGGGTCCTGAATTGGGTATTTGGCCCAGGCCAAACACCTGACTAGAACAGAACAGCAACTCTGAGCTAGTCAGATGGCTAGCACCCTGCAGTATGAACAAACTAATCGAAGCATAGGGAGAGGTCAGTTCTGCATAAATGGACAAAAGTTTCTTGGAAGAAAAAAAAAGGTATCTTCCAGTTTTGTAAAAATCTTGGGAGGTCAACTGGTGCTTTTCAGCCGAGGCTTATGCTACATTATTGGATACATGCATGTAATGCTGTTAAAAAGTGAGGAGGTCAGAAATTATAACATCTTTCACCTCTCTGGTATGTCCTTTTACCAACTAATAAAACAAGAAAACAAAACTAAGTTGGATTTGTCAAAAAAGCCAAGTGTAATTTCGTATTACAAGCCATGCTAAAAGTGTTTACATAAGTGCATTCAAAGAACTCCCAGAAGAATTCCTATATAAGTATCACTTGGCAGGCAGTATACAACCAGCAAATCCTTTCTGGTTATTTCTGACAGTAAATAATTTACGATATGATCAGTAATAACATAATACTGAGAGAGTTGCTCATATTGCTTGGAGATGCCAAAAAAAAAAAAAAACAAAGAGAACTAACCCACCCAGAATCCAAATTCTATGAGTAGTTTAGGTAATCTTATAACCTACAAGACTCAACATATCACCGGCATAGCACCACCATGCAATAGTCATATATATATATATATATATATATATATATATATATATATATATATATATATATATATATATATATATATATGACATAGTGTTGTGTCCTATCTATATGCAGAGCAGACACTGATTTGCCAGACCGAGCTGAAGTTCAGACAGCGAAGGTGAACAGGCTCAAGTAAAACTACCTCTTGGGAGTTTACGCCAATGACTGCAGTAGCATTAAAGGCTTGTTGCTGTTATCTTTACCAGGCTTTCTTAGAGGCTCTCTCGATGGCAATGGATGAAGCATACAGTTTTGCCATGGAATGTACACTACGACTTCAAGTATTCCTGTCTTATTACTTGTAGAGCCATAAAACGTAGGCTCTTCAAAACTGGAAAGAAGTGCTGAAAAAATACTTCTGGGGTTTCAAGCACTAAGAACACCATCTGATTACACCATTGTACCACAGTACGGCAGTCTGGATTCCTTTTCGATTAGTAGTATTCTTTAATGTGCATCCACTCTATAGTCCACAGGCTTTTTTTTGTTTGTTTTACCCCCTAGAAGCACATCTGTTGCAGCCAGGGTTTGACCATGCAACTTCGTGCTTAGCGGCTTAATGCCTAAGCACCATAATAAAGAAACCAGTTCATGTATAATGGCGCGCAAGTGTTGCCATTGGTAACGAAGTCAGTTTTAAATGCTTTAGAATCAAATGATGCTTATCAGAGGACATGAGACGCAGAATTGTATTGCTTTTCTGAGGGCTACAAGTCAGTACACAATGAAAGCATTAAACATGCCTTTGACAGGTTAGCTCATTGACTATATTTAAATTTGAGCAAGAATAATGTCAATGTTCTTATACTTTTCATATACAACACACCGTCTGAAAGTCTGCATTTTTTAATACTGGTCGATGTGAATGAATAAGGCACTTCACAAAGGTTTTACAGAAAACCATTGCCTTGCACTAATAATTCATGAACAAAAGGATGTCCCTAAAAAGTGTGCAACAAATAAGCCTTCAGAAAACAAATTACAGTGCTAGTTGGCGATTCCTACTTAAAATGTTGCAACGCTATTTTTGACGAGGACAAAGAAGTGCACAACAGGACATGCACAGGAATGCACTTCTATTTCAAGAACTAATATGGAGTGGGCTTGGCAGCACCGTGTTCGGGCGGTTGCTCATGAATTTCTACTTTTTCGTCCAGATCGCCCTAATAAGGGTGGATTCTGTCGTTGGCCCGGCGAAAGTCTCTCCACCGCAAGAAAACATTGTCGCGACTGCGCCGGACAGCTCCGTCGACGGAGAACCATCATGGAAAGCAGCGGCTCGAGTGCCCCTCCCCTACCATGCGGTCAACAGAGTGACATTAGCGGACACGCTTGGAGCTTCAGCATAAAACTCGGAGCCATCTTCAGCAGTCTTTCAGTGGGCTTGGCAGCACCGTGTTTTGGCGGTTGCTCATGAATTTCTACTTTTTCGTCCAGGTGGGTGACAAACATTCTGTCTGCTCTATTAGAGACGATTCGCTCACTTTAGAAGTGCAGCCAGGCCCACAGAGTCTGCTTTCTTCATTGTGCGATTGTTTGCTTGTTACTAGGCTACTGCTGTTAACATCAGGTAATGTGGAGTTAAACCCTGGACCCAGCTCAGACTCTGGTTCCGAAATCACCTTAAACAGCCAGCTCCTCAAGAAAATTCTAAAGGAACAAACAAAGACAATAAAACGCTCACTGTTCTTTCTGAAAACTTAAAACATGTAGAAACTACGGTAGGCAACGTACAGGAAAGATTAACAGCCATAAAAAAAGAGTTGGCTCGCCTACAGCAATGCGAGGATAAACTCGCCGAGCATGAGGTGATGACCGTAGAAACAAATAAACTGGCGCGAGAACTATCGGTTAAGGTAGAAGATTTGGAAAACAGGAGCCGCCGGAATAACGTAACCTATGGCGTGGAAAAGGGTGATAATGAACAAAATGCAGATTTACAACAGCGGATTGTTAAGGGCATTTTTAAAGACATACTCAAGGTGAATGTTACATCTGTAGAACGCATGCACCGAAATGGCAGGAAAACACAAAATCGCGAGTGGCCAGTAATTCTTAAGCTGTACAATTTCTCTGGAAAAATGTTAGTCCTTTGTAATTGCGGCAAACTGAAGGGAACATTAATATCGATATCCGAAGACTTTCCGCATGAGTTCGGGACCTGCGCAAAAAACTATGGCAATCAGCAAAGGAAGATCGGGACAATGGTGCTAAGGTTACTCTTGTATTCGATAAACTGAAGATAGATGACGACTTGTACGTATGGGATGAAGCAAAAAATCCAAGAGTGTACCTGAGAAGGGCACGTCACGATGGTCGTGCAAAAAGCAACGCGTGACACCTGAAAGCCGCCACACCGTTTTCTTTGGTATGTTTGAATGCCCGTAGCATTGTTAATAAAACTGACAAGCTAGAAGAATTGTTATTTTCGTACACTCATGATATTGTCGTAATAGCTGAAACATGGCTGCACCCAGACATTCTTGATTTTGAAATTGTTCCTTCGTCATACTGCCTACTTCGGTCAGATTGTGACGGTCGCGGGGGCGGGGTCCCCATTGCAATAAAATGTGGCTTGCAATATCATAGAGATAAGGGTATCGCGAATCACGAAAGTGTTTGGTGCACAATATTTGCTCGCAATGCTCCAGTAGTGATCGGTAGCATCTGCAGAAAGCCAAATGCTTCTGATGATTACCTTTTATAAGTACATGACTATCTGGTTGATAAGGTTACCCCCCCGTACCAAATTAATACTTACTGGAGATTTCAATCTCGCTATTGACTGGGAAAACTTAACACATACTGGAACTACCACCAACAGTGAGCTATTATGCAATTTAATGTTCAATTTTTCATTGTCCCAGTTGGTCCAGGAACCAACCCGAATTCAAGGAAACACTCGCTCCATACTAGACCTAGCTTTTCTATCCGATAACCTATCCGGTAAAGCCACTGTAGAAGATAGAATATCTGACCACAAAATGTTAATCATAACTTTTAACTTTAAATGCTTAAACCCCAAACCCGATGACACAAATTCACGGATAGCAGTGAAAGACTACACCAGAGCTAATGATGTTTGTGTTATTGATTACCTTGACACAGTACTAGAGACTTGTTCTCTAGAGGAATGTGAGGGTGTTAATGGTATGTGGATTAAACAGAAAAAAATAATTACGTACTGTGAATAAAATTTTATCCCAACTAAACTTAAACGCACACGAAGACAAACACCCTGGATCAATCGCCGTATTATTCAACTTAAAAGAAGGGTACAGAGAATGCATAAGAACAAGAGGAATCCAGTCATTTTAAAGGAACTTGCATCTCAGCTTACGGGCGGAAATTAGAAATGCAAGACAAACTTTTTTTCACATACGTTATCTCACTTCATGACGCATCAGCCACACAAATTTTGGCGTTTCTTGGCACGGCCTCAAAACCCAACAATTGAAGTAGAAATTGAGGGTACTATTGTTAATGACGCGCAGGCCGTTTCCAATGCTTTCAGTAGGTATTTTCAGTCGGTATTTACACACGGATATGCACCAAGCAGCCCTGTTGCTACGGTGCATCCTTTGCAAATGCCCGATGGCGTCACTACGGAAGGTATCCTAAACCTGCTGTTGCAGATCGATGTTAAGAAATCAGTGGGTCCTGACAATATTTCAAATGTATTCCTTCGACGCTATGCAGAGCAGCTATGTCCCTTTCTTGAAGCAATTTTTAAAGCACCCCTGCTAACAGCTTCTTTACCTGCAGACTGGTTGTGTGCAAAAGTAATTCCAATTCATAAAGGCGGGAGCAAGCTGTCCATAGAAACATTCAGGCCTATCTCAATAACTAGCTGCTGCTGTAAATTATTGGAACATGTAATCAACAAGGCAATAATTACTTATTTAGAAGATAACAACTTATTGCACGCAAAAACAACACGGATTCCGTAAAAACCTGTCTACCGTTACTCAACTCTTGGAAATAACGCATGACTTCGTAACTACTATTAACTCACAATTGCAAACCGACGCCATATTTATAGACTTTGCCAAAGCTTTTGATAGGGTGCCTCACAGTAAATTGATTGACAAACTAGTGTCTATTGGTTTTAATAGTAACATAATAGCATGGATAAAAATGTATCTATCAAATCGAAGCCAGTATGTAACCATAAACAACACAGCCTCTGATTCATTGGAAGTTTTTTCCGGAGTACCACAAGGTTCCGTTTTAGGACCCATCTTGTTCTTAATATATGTTAATGATATCTATATGTGCCTTGAGTCTAACGTTAAAATGAGATTATTCACTGACGACTGCGTGACTTACACCACTATCTGCGCAACTGATGACCAGCTTAGACTTAACACCACACTAGCTAATATTGCATGTTGGTGCCTTGAGTGGGGAATGGAAATTAACGTGTCGAAAACAGCTTGCCTTAGCTTAACTCGCAGAAAAACAATCCAGCATTTTAGTTACAATTTGGTCGGCACAAACATTGCAAAAAACGACGCTGTTAAATACCTGGACGTCACATTTACAAGTAAACTGAAGTGAGATGCACATATAAGCAGCACATACACAAAAGCCTATCAACAGCTAGGGTTCCTGCGTAGAAAACTTGCATTAGCGCCTTCTAATGTAAAACTGACAGCATATAAATCTCTCGTAAGGCTGATCCTCGAATACGCCACCATTGTTTGGAACCCCCACCAAAAATATCTTTCCAACAAATTAGAAATTGTCCAACGCAAGGCCCTTTGCTTTATCTATTCTAAGTATTCGAGGCATGACAGTGTCACTGAGCTGCGAGGCGGGCGTGCTTACCGACCCTTGCTGCCTGTCGCCGTGTCTCTTCCTTAAAGTTTCTTTTTCTTTTGTATCACACCGATTTAAACATAGATAAAGACAACTATATAAAGCCACCAAACCATCACTCCCTTTGTACCAACCATAATAAGTGCATCAGACCATTCATGTCACACTGTGACACTTTTAAATATTCATTCTTCCCATCAGCCATGGAAGAGTGGAACAAACTGCCACGTGAATGCGTTAATCTTTCCTCCGCAGATGCATTTGTTCGGAATGTAGAAAGCCTGTTTTATGAAGAGTAAAAGCAACCTTTGTTTTTTTATGTTTGTGAGCGCTTCCAAACACACTGATCACTGTACCACATGCTGATACCTCGATGATGTTTTGTGACGTGCCCATGATTTTGTGCTTTCATTGTTCAAGTTTTCTTTTCACCAGCATCTTGTGATTCTGTTTTCTTCCGCTATGTGCGATATTGCCTGGTTTGTACGCGACTGCGTATATTTACCCGCCCACCCTGTATGAGCTTGAGAAAGGCTTACAGTATTAAATAAATAAAAAAAATGATAAATAAAGTATTTGCGTCATCTCGTAGCAATAAGTACAGATAGTCATTAACAATTATACTAAAGCTAATTTTGCAGATTCACAGACAGTTTGAGATATGACATTTAGAAATAAAGTGATTGACGTATTGGATAAACTATCACACCTTGGGTTGGTTACTAATCAGACATCATACACAATCAACTTTTACACATCGCAGAGCAAAGACAAGCTACGAAAATGGGCATTTTCAAAGTAGCTGTTTACAGTAAGTCGAGCCTGCACTCGATTGCCCAAATGAAGCTAGATCATATCCTTCTAGCTTACCTTGGGTTTGTGTTCAAGTTTTTCTGAATTAAATATCAAGACTTGATGCTGTGTCAATTCTGTCCATCCACTCTTGTTTGGGTGAGCTGCAGGACTGGCATGTTGACGCGCAACGTCAGTTTCACTTCGTTGCGTCAACTTCTCGGAGCTGCGATGCTTTTTATAACTATTCTGCATGTGTTTCAACTTGCGAGCTACTTCTTTCACGTGGTCGTCTTGTTCATCATGAGCGTCGGATGAGACATCTGCAAAATATTAAAGATAATTACGCACGACGACGTTATGTAGCGAAGTTTTCCACGTACGCTTTTTCGGTAGCGGCATGTCCTCTTCATCAAATTTACGCTTCAAGGAGTGGCTTCCGTCACAACTAGGAAAATCGACAGCACCAGCAGCCGACGATGGCCTCCCGAACACAACTACATAAGGCAGCTCCTCCGCAAGCAATTCCAGTTGATCACCGTCAGACACCGTCACAGTCTCCCCTACTGCAAGGCGCCTGCCCAACACTCGGCACGGGTTTTCACCAAGTTGCGTTAGCTGAACCGTGCCTTCGCTGAAATCCGCTCGCAGTCTGACTGAAATTTAGAAGAAACGCCATGCCGTACTTCCTCGTTCACAAGACTGTCAAAAACGTTCTTTTCCTGTTGCACTTTTTCTGTGCGTGGCTGACATCCTCCACACGCTCACCTTGAGATCTGGAGCAGCGCTTGTTCCGAATTTGAGTACTGCGATTTCTGCCAACAACAGTGTCTTCGTTGTGCGGCAGGTCAATGTCAGGCAAGAATGATGACTGGTGCCGGAGTTTACAGTTAGAGTAACGCATAATTAATGGTTGAGACGCTAAAACAATAAAATGAAAGCGGCAAGATTCTGTTTGGCAATGCATAAATCAGTTGCCAGATTTAGGGGTCAGCGTTGCCAGGCTCCCGCCAAATTTGGCAAATCAATGTGCCACTCTAGTTGTGCCTTCCCCGTGAGGGCTTTGTGCGTGCATTCTGTGAGTGCGTGTCCGTCGTTGGCCGTTTTAATTAACGGAATGAACGGCGTGTTGCACAAGTCGGGGCGCGTTGTTTTGCTGTGTGCACAGCTATAAGAGGTCGTGCTCGATCGTGTTTCAGAATGGGGGAAATCCACGACGCACCCGCCGTGCATTTCGCAGATACTATCGGCATCAAATGAAACGCGAACAGCGGAGCGCGTGACACAAGCCTTATCAATGGCATAGTGCGTGCCGTCCGCAAGTCATTGACACAGACAGGCCCGCACATCCGGTGTGGCAGCACGCAGTATTTCTGCTTGTGTTCGAGGTATGGTGATGGTATTTGAAAGGATTGATTGATATGCGGGGTTTAACGTCCCAAAACCACTATATGATTATGAGAGACGCCGTAGTGGAGGGCTCCGGAAATTTATACCACCTGGGGTTCTTTAACGTGCACCCAAATCTGAGCACACGGGCCTACAACATTTCCGCCTCCATCGGAAATGCAGCCGCCGCAGCCGGGATTCGAACCCGCGCCCTGCGGGTCAGCAGCCGAGTACCTTAGCCACTAGACCACCGCGGCGGGGCGATGGTATTTGAAAGGAGCAAAATAACAAAAATACAGGGGTTAAACTACTGGAGCAGAAGGCGAGTATTGTAGAACGGTTTCCCATTACGGAATCCATAATCACGGAATGCCTGGCAAATTCTAATTATAGTAGACAAAACTCGGTTCACAATGCTGACAATTTCACGCTGTTTCACTTTGCACCGGTAAAGCGAAACAATTTGGGCTCTCTCTTCCGAAGAAACGCTTGGCATTTCCAGTTAAAGTGAAGCCTTTTCGGGTCTTTTTCTGAAAGAAGGGTGTAGGAGAAGCAGCGCTGGCGACGAGATACGACGAGCGTTTTAAAATCAACCGTAAACCGATTAAATTTCTCTTTTTGTTTTATCTTGCCAAGACACTGATTGCACTGCGACGCTGAAGTAAAAGTGAGGAATTGAGAGTTATACAATCAAAAGCTCTTGGCATGGTCACGATGGCCACCGTTACCGTAAAATGGGGTTACTTTGTGACAAATTTCGTACGTTTTCATTCACTCGCTGAACAATTATCCACATAAACGCGAATGAATAGTGGCATAACGTTCCTAAAACCTCCCCTCACACGACGGTATGTTCTACAAATCCGCATCTTTAACACAAATGGCTATATTTAGGATAAAAGTTGTCACAAAGTTGCCCCGTCATGTGGGGCAACTTTGTGACAACGTTGTTTGTGGCTGAATATGATAGGGAAAAAAAGGTCTGGCACGAAGTTACCCCATCAAACGTTTATTTGCGTTATCTACAACTGGTTTCTGTTCTGGAAACGTTACATTGTATTACAAATTGTTCATACGTGTCCAACCTCAATCAAGATCTTTTACCTCTAAGATGCCTCGCTTGCGGCCTAGGGGATTCAATCGTGTACAAAATTTCTTCTTTTGAGTACAAAATAGCGTCTTCGCGGTCCGGCCATCTCCAATTCTTTTTGGTCCTCTCCATAGTGCTGACGATGTACCCCCCAGGTTTGACTTCTGTCACTCTTCCAGGGAAAACTTGTCCTTCGAAGTTAACTACGACAAAGTCATCCTTCTGGAAAGTGCTTTCTCCGGAACCCGTACAGCGGACCTTTGGGACGTTGCTAGTATTTGAAATCGCGGAAGTGCTAGAAGTGTCTGTGTCCGATAGGTTATCAAGACTTCCGGAGAGTACCTCGGAATCACTTGCATCTTCTTCTGACCACCTTTTGTTGTCGCCGTACTGACCATCTGAGGACGATTCGCTGTCACTGCTTTCTTCTGCGCTGTCGTCCTCAAGAGAAGACCTCTTCCTAGGTCGTCTAGCTCTGATACCAAAGGAAGAGCTGCCCTTCTTTCCAGTTGTCGGTTTTCCCGTTCTGCTGGTAACTTTGTGACAGTTGGCGTGTCACAAAGTTACCCCGCGAAGTATCAACATTTCAGTTTTCTTTCTATAACCTTAAACAAACATGACGTGAATAAATTTTGATTACAGTTTATTTTAGCCCACATATTAACAATCAGAAGTGCATACCTGTTATCGCTGTGTTTCTCGTGCGGACGGGTCGAGAACACAAAGTTTACGGTGCTTCAACAATGCGCGCTAAAACACCATTAACCACGTGGGCGTCTAGAGTGGCTCCAGAGCGCGGGAACTTTCGCCGGCTGCCCCTAGGTGGCACAGCATGTCAGGCGAGCTTGTTGAGTGGCTCATAGCTTTTCGGCGGCGCCTGGTTGTGGCGCGAGATATAAAATAAAGAAAACCGAGCGCGTGTCACAAAGTAACCCCTGCAGTCACAAAGTAACCCCATTTTACGGTATCACAATACGAAAACTAAGGCAAAAACGGAGATGACGCACTCCAGGGGGATCGCGCAGTGCAACCAAACCGGATCTGCACGCCAGTAAATGGTGATGTCTGGACGGCCAACACTATACTAATGCTTGCTTGAAACACGTGCTCCTCTGTTGGTGTTTCATGTGACGCCGATAGTACATATGCGTGCGACGTTATTCGCGAGTGCAGGCCGTTTTAATTAACCTGCTGCCACTCCATTCAGTTTCCCCAGAAAACGCGTCTTTTTGCCTAGTCGACAAGGTACGCACAGCTATGGAGACGACACGAGTCCGACGTACATTGAACGTACAAATTCAGTTCCCCTTGAGCGTGTGCTCATACGCGTCGTTGCGCGCTGATTCCCCAAATTCCGAGGCACGATCGAGACCGACCTTTTAATTGCACAGCTGCGCACACAGCAAAAGAATGCGCCCCGACTTCTGCAACGCGCCGTTCCTTCCGTTAATTAAAGCGGCCAACGTCGTACACGCACTCGCAAAATGCACCGCGGACAACACAGAGCCCTCATGGAGAAGGCACAACTACAGTGGCACATTTCTTCGCCAAATTTATCGACAGCCTGACAACACTGTCCCTCCCCCCCCCCCCAAGCCTGGCAATGATTCAGACATACGATAATCACGCGCGTCCATGACTGACCGGTCTAAGAGCGAAAAATCACCATCTTAAGCATAACCTAAAATCGACAGCAATGCAAGAAAAAAAAAAAAAAAAAACCCTAGGCCAGACTGGGGATCGAACCTGAGTCGTTTTGGTCTGAATGGGGATCGAGCCCTGGTCGTTTACGTGGCAAGCAGATGTTCTCCACACAGCCACGCGTCTGCTTACGAATACAGTGAAAGTAACTTCGCGCACTTGGAAATGCAGTGAAAATAAATTGCATGCCGTACAAACAAACGCGTTCTGTACTCCTATATACATGCTTCACAATACACCATGAAATATTGCAGTAATGATGCGTGGTGCAAGTATACATTGCTATCGACGTCAGAATGTGCGATTATCATAATAGGGAGTTTTCAAATAGGGGCCCTAAAGAAACAGCATCGAGGCCACTGCGCATGCGTGAGACCAAAACGCGTTTGGGTTTTGGGTTGGGGACGCTATTTCTCGAATTTAGCGGGAGCCCCAAAGCCTGCCCCAAAAGATTTGGGCCAGACAAACGTGACGGCTCTTGGCCAAGACTGTGCGACACAGAATAAGGGGAGTGTACAAAGCGCCGCAGACCCTATTCGAGAATTATTTGCTCCTGCTTGACCCAAAGCGTCTACACGAAAAGGGCTTTGGGGCCCCTATTTGAAAACTCCCTAATGACTTCATGGTTTGAAGCCCGTCACCCACTACAAAAAGCACACACATTACAGCGTACTTGAAGGCCACATAGTGGGTGCATAGCAAGTTCGAAAAGATTTCATGAACTAAGTGTTTAAAGTACGCACTAGGAACAGGATATCGCTATTGCGTTAAACTCTTAAAGGCAAAGGTTGAGAGTCCTGCAATTTTTTTGATTCACCTGCTATTCGTGAATTCAGAAACTTCTGCACTTTGGCATTTGCTTAAACATGTGAAGTGAAGATACAGGCAAACTTCCTGGCTGTTGGGATGTAATGTCCTACACCAACGAAGCAGTAGGCGATTATTGTGAGCCATGGCTACTGAGGCAGCCACGTCCATGAAAGAAGCTCGTATCCTTACATACGTAGCCCTTGAGCAAGATCCGAATTCAGTTTCCTGAAAACTCTTTGCAATGGCGAGGTATCCAAATATTTTCATTCTCACCAGCTTGAGTACCAACATCAAAAACTTGATTTCACAGTGCTGGCGAAATCCAACATCAATTTTGCCGTGGCAAATATGAATCTGAAAAAAAAAAAATGTGCATCTCCAATAATTTACGTTAACTCAGGAATGGTCCATAGATAATCACCTGGGGTTGAATATTGCATAAATGAAAGCCTTGATGTTTCACCCTCTTCGTAAGGAGTGTCTGACGTATCTGCTTCTTACTAATGGTACATCAGTTGAATACGTTGATTCTTTTAAAACCCTAGGCATATATTTCTCCACAACACTGTCATGGGATGCTAACAATGACTTCCTGGTTGAAAAACCTTCATAGTATGGGACTTTTGTAGCGAAACAGAGCAACGTTTTCGGTTACAGTAAATCTACTCCTCTACAGCTCGCTTTTCTCTTCTACTCTTAACTATGGTGCCCTTGTTTGGGGCACAACCACAAATGCAAATATCATAAAATTATTTCTATTACAAAAGCGAATTATTAGAGTAACTTGCAAGGTGCCCTATTTGTCACATAAAGCTGAATCAGTTGCCTAATTGCATAATGTCAAGAGTTCCATCACTATATGAATATTGCCTATATCGTTATTACAAACAATGCACAAAAAACCAAGACAATGCCTTGCAAAATGTAGCCAACTTTAAACAATTACAGTAGCATACAGCACCCGCAACCCAAAAAAGCGGGATGCGGCATGATGTTGCACAAACTATGGGAAGCAAATGGTTCCTTACCAGCTACCATCATTGTTAAACCAGTTGCAGAAAATAAATGGCATCGACAGTGAAAAGTTATTACTGAAAGAGCTCTGCAACACACACACACACACACACACACACACACAAAGTCAAAATGTTAATATTATTAGACCCCTTATTTGTATACATACTTTCAAGGTTCGCAATAGGTTACCCGATTGTTTTTTTTTCTTTTTCACCTAGTCAAAACTATTTCACACTTGGGTTTTATTTTCTTTGTTATATCCTGCTACACAAATGTTCTACAGTTTCTGCTAATACGTATTAATAAATCTTGTGTACCTTTGAAATCTCTTCCATGTTGTTATTATTTGTCATATTCACTGCCTACTGCTGTTCTACCCAAAAGGGGCCATTGCCTCAGCAAGCATTGTAGTAGCTTTTTGTGACAGCACCTATTGTTTTGTTTCTTTGAATAATGAAAGATGACTAAACTTGATTTGGTATGAAAACATCAGCACATGCTGGAAATCAGTAACAAATGGCTTTAGATGCTAACAAGGAAGACCTGCATCACAATAGAACTTATGCATTCGTTCCCTGAAGGCCTTGCTTAATAGGACTCTGGTGTTACATGTTGGCTGCTCTTCCAAATTGCATTGCACATGGTTTAAACTGCGCAGTGAATTAGTGAAAAAAAAAGTGCAGGTAAATTTATTTAAACAACCCATTTGTGTCTGCCATTGCCAACATAATTCAACATACCACAACAAGCTACGAAGAGGGATCAACAAGACAAGCAAGCTGAATATATGCTGAATTGAATAATGCCGCATATTTTTATGGATGGCATTATACATCAAATACAAAATGTATTTGGTGCTGCATATCAAGGGCAGTATTCTTGAATATGCACAAAAACAGCAGCAGAAATGGACTTGTGCATCTTGGTGTAGGGTAAATCAACATGCAGAAAGTACAAGCACACAAAATATTGAAATGAAGTAGACTGAGTGAGCCTTCATCATGTGAAGAGCTTGTGAAATTTACTAAAACAATTTTATTGTCTGGACAACAAAATGTGATATATAAGCTCCAATGAACTAGTGCAAGCACCACTAGTTCCAGTCTATGACACAATTTACCACAGTGTAATGTAACAATATAATCTCAGTGAAGATAGACTTAGTGCAAAATTTTCTTGATTGTGCCATTTCATTAAAATGTTTTGACAACAATATTGCTGAGCACTGGATCCAGCCAGTGGACAGCTAAAGAGAGCAACTTATACATGTGAAAAATGATGCTATAGCACCATATTCCTTACACAACCATACTTTAGAAAAAAAAAAAAAAAAACGGTCACATGCCTCTTCTCAAAATTAGGAGTTTCTGACATAAAAAATTACAAAAATTTACTCGAAGTACTTTAACATGCAGGCATCACTACATGTAACGGTAACAGTTTAACATAGGAAAAATGGCATTTATGGTATATATATATATATATAATTAAGGCAGGCACGTAAGAATATTCACTTGAACAGCAATACCATGGCTTCTTGTTCAAGCACTGCATTTTATGTAAGAGCAGCATTACAATCCTGAGTTTTAACAGTGCCTCACAAGACACCAGTGAAAGTGCCGCACTTTGAGATCAGCACCTCGAAATAACTAGTCTCTGCTATGTTTTTTCCAAGATAAGTCATACCTTGGGTATTTAGTACCATGCGCCCTTAAAAGAAAGAACACATGTAATGCCTTAAGTAGCAAAACACCGATTGCCAAAGTAATCTCAAGTACATTGACACTCAGCCTGTTGTGCCACAGATACAATGTTGGTATTGGCTATCCGCTCTGTGTCACACAGATACAGAGACTTCCCAGAGCATATATTACGAGCCACTGCCTCGTCTCGATGCCATCACAGAGTGTCAAAGGCCGAGCGTACAACCTACGTAAGCACCAACAAGCATTGTGGGGGCATAATAAGGCTAGCAGGAGCTGAGGTGTAGACCACAGGCGCATCTTCTCTAAGCCATAGTCCTTGTGTCATTCGGTCCAGCACACTGTAATCACTTGTACTCATATGGTGGAGGTGGCTCCTGGGGCATGCTACCATATGGGTAGCCAAGGAAGCCTGGTGGGGGCGGCTGGGTCTGGGAGGGTGCTGGTGGCTGGCTGTAAGGTGGACTGTAAGGTGGATGCACAGGCTGAGCCATAGGTGCTGGCCGTGCACCTGCTACAGCGGGCCCATAAGGAACAGGGCCTGAAGTGCGAAAGGGGTCAACTGGGACGGCTGTCGTGGATGCCAGCATGGCTTCCCGGCGCCGACACTCTCGGCAAAAGCAAGCACAGATGGCTATAAATACGGCAAAGCACACCAGGGGTCCGAGAAGTGAAATTTGCCCTCCCAAGTTATCTGAAAAAAAAAAAAAAATTATTGCAACTTCATAAGGCACATTTCAGGTCGTAACATTCCACATAAAGTGCTATGTGGCCATTACTGTGATTAGACAGGTTTGAGACAAAAGCAATAGGATTCAGGAAACAAGGCCAAATGGAGTTACAATAAATGTTCTTTCTACATCTGCCAACACAGTCTGTATTACAAGGCTTCTCTGATTATGCAACCTTTTCAAACAGTTAACCGAGGTTAAGCTTGAATGCTGTGACGTCATGAATTTCAAAATATTTTTTGTTTATTATTTAGGTCACAATGGCTCATATAAATGTTCCTGCAATGTGCAATGTCAGTTCTAATACAAGCGAAAATTTTATCTTTAGTGGCTCTTTCAAAGACAAAATACTGTAGAACATACCTCATAGTTTGAAAGACATTATGTGGCACATGAGAATGCTATGAGGGCACTTCCCAATCAAGTGGTGCTCAAGTGGTGAACGCGGTGGAGGACCTATAGCGGCGACGGTGCATACGTTCACCACTTGAGCAACCTAAAGGAAACACTAGTTGAAAGAAATTACCTGCAAGATGCCCTAAACAAGGTCTACAACGAAGCATGTAAACTAGATAGCAAAACAACTCTAGCAAAAGGAACGAACCAGCCGCCAGCATTTATAACCAAATACTCAAATGCGCTCCCAAACAAATATCCTTCATAAGTATTATCCAATGCTGGCAAGCAACGAGAGCCTTAGAAAACTGTTTCCCGAAGTACAAAAGGTCGTGTAGTGCATGCAAAAGTAAACCTGCATTATACTGCCCAAGTAACACCTTGCTCCTGTCCAAGATTCAAGACTTGCAAACACCTTCAAGATGACGTAATAGTTAAATGCATCGCAAGCGATTATGTCTACCATTTAAAATCTAGTTTTACCTGCACTAGTGCAAACGTTATCTACATAATCGAATGTTCATATTGTCATAAATGGTACATTGGTGACACAGGACAGCATGTTAATGTTAGATTGAACGGTCATTGTGCGGACACGGCAAAGATTACCGAAAGCAGTGGCACAGCATTTTAATGTAGCAGAACACAACTTCAACAATCTCAAACTTTATATACTTCAGTAAAAGTTCCGGTGCTCAAGAGACAGAAAATATATAGTAATAAATATTCAGAAGTTCAATATACTCCAACCAGCCGGTATTAATGCTTCTAAAGGGGCCTGATAATATATGGTAGTGCAGACAAAGGACACAGACAAAAAAAGACATTCAAGACAACACAGCGCTGTGCCTTCTTTTGTCAGTGTCCTTTGTCTACGCTACCATATATTATCATGCTACCATACCAACAAGCCCAAATCGCCATCCTCATTGACTTTTAAAGGGGGCTCTTGAATTCACTCAGTATGGTACATACATAAAGAAAACCACTGAGAGTTAAGCCCGCCGTCTTAGAATTTCACCTATTATTGTTATCTTCTGACAACCGTGACTCAGTGAAACGTGTACATCCTCACCTCCACACCACTTCCTTCTTTCCTTTTCATTTGCGACCCCTCCCCTTCTCTTCCACAACCACATATCCACTGTTCCCCTCTACTCCTCGTTTGTTAGGATAGGATGAAGGAAGGTACAAAAACGTAGACACGCTACTGCTAAAGAAATCAGTTCTGTTCTAAACTTGAGCAAGACAAGTCCACTTATCGAAACATCAGCTCGACACAACCTCTGTTTACAGATTTTTTTGTTTTTTTTTTTCCGTCGCAAGCTTCCATCTTCCTGCCATTTTTGGTTTGCCAGTAGCGTAAGGCACATATCTCTGGATGGAGAGTGTCAGAAGCCAGGGAAAGGGAACAAATGTGTCCTCAATCATGTCCACAGATATGTGCCTTGACCAACAGGCATGGTTTATGCCATTTCACTGTCTTACGACTGAGAACATGTAGGCCAAACGAGGCGTTTCTTAAATATACGCTTACGAAAGCATGAGCGGACGCTTTTCGGTGCTGCAGTCACATCTCATTTGGTAACTCATTGCATATCTTGAGGATGTGTTCTCAACTTGCAGAAAACCACTATGAAATATAGACATGTTGATCAGCACATGTGTGAAATAGTCTTTTTTTATTAGATCCAATAACAAGTGCATAAGTCTTCTATCAATCAATCTTCTAGATGAAAAATATAATTACCTGTTAGACAAGATATAAATCATGTTGTGTTGTAACACGTGTGAACAAGCACACAGGTTTGGCGACTCATTGATTTGTATATATTTTCTTTTATCTTCCAAAATAAATTTATTTGCGAGTTTGGTGCAGTGTCCTTTTCTTCTGTCAATATCTAACCCGTTGTGCAGTCAATTATTCTTTGAATAAACATTCACCAACTTGCCCAACTCGTAACTCCGCTTCAATGAAAACAGTTGCATTCTTTGTGCGGCAGGCCTATAGCCAGAAATTTCCTTCGGGAGAGGGGCGGGGGACTTGTTGAGGGCCTTCAAAAACCCATATTATCATAATTCCCCCCTAGTTTTTCCTACCATATTTTAATTTCTTACCTATACGAGAAGTATTGATTAGGTTCTTTTTGTTTTGTGTTTTATATTTCATTGAACGCATGGTGGATACATTGAAGACACTGCTATCTAGGGTTTCAGGTTGGGTGTGCTTCCCATGTTGTTATTGTTTCACCCAAACGTAGGAGAAAAACTCAGAATAACTAATGTACTTCTTTTAAATGTTTGTAAAAGGAGAAAGTTGCCTGGTGGGGTTTGATATAATCTGGCGCTCGCCGGGTGAGTGGTCCTGTTTTCATATGCATATGTGATGTCTGTTGAGCCAAAAATGAAGCAGGTGGTGTACACTACATCAGGGACAGTCTTCACCAGACCGTATGTCAGCACTGATCTCTCCAGACTGTGGCTGCAAACCTCAGCCGATCGAGATCTCTCTCTCTCTCTGCTGGACCCGCTGGACCCGGAGTCGCAACATGACTCAGCATCACAGTACATCTGCATGTCGCACAGTGTATGTAGCCTGTACACTATTATTGTCGCATGGCTCTATTTTTAGGCAAATGGTAAAACGTATAGTAATGAAAAAAAATGCGTAAGGTAGAGTAAGGTAATACTGACCTTGGCATAGGGTACTTTAGAGAAATTTTGTTGGCAACACTGGCACAAAGTGGTGAAAGCCATAGGGTTTTCTATAACTACACTAGAGGGAACTCTGGTGCTAGTGTCTATGGGAGCTGCAATGCACGGCGCTTCAGCCAGCATTGGAATGATGGGTAGTACACCAATTTGTCTAGCCTTTGTTCTTTTAAGGCTCCATTTGGCTTCAAGCTGACCAGGAGCCGCTTAGTACTACAATCAGCAATTGTTCAGAAGTCGCACTTCACCACCTAAACCGTTATGGCTCACCAATTGAAATCACGTCACAAAGTTCACAACGGTCCATCCTTTTATTTGAAACAAAACCAAAATACAGCAATAAACAAAGCGGCAAGCACAAAGACTAGGCAACTGTGTACTACCCATCATTCTCATGGTGGCTGTACCATCGCAGTGCCATAGTCCCCTCTAGTTAATTCCTGCAGCAATTCTCAGTGGTTCACAAGGTGGCTGAGACAAGCAGATAATATTATGAAGTCAAGCTCTTAAGAAGGGCAGACACTGAAAGTTTAAATTTTATCCAAAAAAGCAAGCAACTTGGACATGCAGAAAACAGGAGCAAGAAACTTTGTCTGCTGAAATATATTACATTTACATGCAGTAGAGGGGAGCTACTCTCGTGGTGTCCAATTCATAGACATAACAGAATAGAAAGTTGGGCGAGTTGGTGTATATTCATATTAAAAGAAATAGACATGTCCATAGACATGTCCCATTTGGCCTCCCCTGATTGGCTGGAGCTCGTGAGCAGCGCGTCGCCTGTTTCCGCTTTTTCTTCCGCAACGTCATTTTGACGCAATGCAGCTTTCACAACTCTCCACGCAAATGAAAAAGACTGAATGCGTTTTACCACAATGAATGCTGCCCCAAGAGATCCGCTTTTACACGCACATCGCTAAGGCCGTGCATGGACTCTAATTACATTAGCCCTTGAATTAGGTTTAACGTGGCCATTCACCTGACGCCCCTGAAAGGCCTGTATGCACTCTCTGTATCGCTCTTCAAACATCTCAACACGTTCATACGCACGTTCAGACTTTTTAAGTTTGTGAGTCCTGTTACTCTACAATTCATCCAATTAGTTTCTTTTTACGCTAGGAATGTGCTGGCGGGTTTGGTGGTCTGATGTGGTCAAGCGGCCATTATGTCACTGTTACGACATCCCCCCCCCCCCTCCCCTTTTTTTGCTTAACTTGACCCGCTCCGGTGAATTGGACATGTCCACGTATTGTACACCGCGAGAATAGCTTCCCAGTTCAGTCCAAAAGAAAAGGGCTGCCAAAATGTGTAACAAAAGCAAAGTTTGCAAAAGGCAGTGCAATCAATTTTCAATTAAAAGATTATGTAAAAGTACCAAAGTGAATTTTTTAAAGGCCAGTTTTGATGCTCATGTCTCACAATGAATGACACTGTTTTACGAAACCAATAAGAAAAAGAGGGACGGTGCAATTATCAAGAAACTTCAAGCTGATCTCTGCTATAATGCAGCCAAGAAAGGCGTAGAACGAAATTTACGATAATGAATAAGTGTTATCATATTGCAACCACTTTCAAAACAGAGTGAAGTGGTACCAAAAGGTGGCCATAGACCTCATTACAGGTAACACCATGGTCAATATATGAAATATTTGTTGCACAGTCGAAAAAAACAAGTAGCCTATTCTAAAATTCTGAGAACAAGTGGCTCATTTACTATTTGGCATTTGTTCCAAGAGCAGCTAGGGCAAATGCAGGAAGAAGTGAATCCACGTGCTGGGAAAGGCTGATAGAAAGGCATGCAAAAGTTGATGCTGGCTCGTATGCACCCATAAGAACCAGCTGTAGCCCAAATACACCACTGAAGAAGTGAAGGAAGTGATGACCTTTCACAGAGGCTGCCTCGGCAAAACGTTTATGTGCTTGTCATGTTTAAATTCTGCACCTAAGAGGAAGGTGAGAAGTGACCGAACATGAGCAATAATCTGAGTATGATTTTTAGGTTGGACCTTTACACACAGTGTAAATCAGCTGATCGAGCATCACTTCCATTTTATCTTTAGAAATATTGTGTCTCTAAGGCTGTCAAAAGTAGAAATTTATTTTCCTCCATTTGTTTTCTGACAGTCTAGCATACTTTAGTTACCGCTGAAAGGATGAGATAAATGCCAAAGGTAGTTTAACATCTTCCAGGAGAGAGCACCAAATATCACCAAGAAAGGTGGCTGCACCATAATTTTGAAGCATGAAAAAGTGGGAGAACGGCGTGATCCACCAGTCAGTAATGACACACGTAGAGGATATAATGTATTGCTGACCAGTGGGCCACAATGCAGTCCACAATGCAGGCCACAATGCATGTAAATGGGGGAACTAAGAGGGAACAAGCGAGTCAATAGAGTGTGACAGAATAACAAATTAGTTAATGAAGATCTGAAACAATCTGTTTGCAGCACACACAATCCATCTTTTGCAATTGACACCAACGCTATTCAAGAAAAAATAAATTGTGCAAGACTATGCAATTTAATTATTCCATTTGGCCCTGTAAAGAAAATAATACAGTTGCTGAAAAAGATCCTAGAAAAAAAGGAAGAAAAAAATACTGGCCGTGCACAGGAGAAGGGTTTCTCAGAGTACACAAAGTTGGGTATTCGAGCTAGCCAATCAGCAACAACTAAATGGCAAAGAAAATACTGCGGGTGTTTTGTTCAATCAAAGCCTGGAGAACTGTACTACTTCGTTACAGCCGATGAGCGCAGTTGGTAGCGCTATTAACAGTACAGTGAACATATACACCTGCATATTGGACAAGGGCAGCAAATTCCAGTAAAGCCTGGCAGTGGAGTAGAAAAAGCAAGTCAATAGAGGAGCACGGCTAGGCAAGTTATGCAGAACTGTAGCACCACGGTGAAAAGTAAACGTTCCTGCATTAATTGAGCGCTGATTGACCCAGAGTGAAATCATTCAAAATAAATGACTCACTATTTACCTTCATATATGTGAGCATGGACGGGTGCCCATACAAACAAAAGGTTCGCCACAGCAGGAAACCAAGCCCCGAAGTTCATGGCGTCCCTTCGCACAGCAGCCTGCGAGCACGTCAGAACATCGTCACCTGTAGCGCTGTGTGTAGTTCGCACCGATTCCTCTCGTGAAGTGCAGGCCTGCCAAGACACTGCATGGGTACGCGGTTGACCTTGATGCGAAGGCTAGCGTAAACAATTTGATCAGCGCCGACTTTTTTTCCTGCCCGAAAGCTATACTAAGGACGCCTCTAGAGAAGCGTGCGTCGCCGAAGGCAAGTAGACGTGAATGGCATGACGCTACCAGCAAGCACTAGAAAAACATGCTACGCGATCACACAAGTTAAGACAGTTTCCCAACGTTGAATTTTGTTGACTTCAGTTTATGGGCTGGTGCTATCAAGTACCGGGCGGGAAATTGGTGAACTTCTGGTGCTAGTATTAATGCGTGTGAGCCAAAGAAACAAAACGGAGCTTACCTGCGCAAATGGCCCACAGTAGTACCCGCTGTTAGTCTTGTCTACTTTCAATCAGGGCCCTGTGCGGGCGTTCTGGTTACAAAGTACGTCCAGTGGCCACGTTTCTCCAAAGCACGCCAAATAGTACAAAATACTACAACAGGTGGCAAGTAACCACAAGGCGAATGAACGGGCAAACAATGCAGACAGCGCATACGCGCAACGGGTCCCTCAGCCTCACAGTCACCCTCGAGATTTCTCTTGCAGCTGGTTGCCAGAGCGTTCATATGTCGTCGCCGTCCCGTACTGAATCTATATGGTAAATGCCTTATCCTTGCACCAAACGTGTAGCCAAACCAGATAACATCTAAAACCTTGACTTACAATACATTGCCTAAACACCATTATTGTCTAAGTGTATTTGTGGCCTTCACAAACCGTAATATACTGTAGCGGAGCTCACTTCTGCCAGCTTCTGCTTTCAGCTCGTTCAAGCCAATTGTAGACGAGTCAAAATTGTTGATTTGTGCGATGGTATCACCATAGTATCACGGAGGAAGGAAACTTCCTCCGTGGATGGTATTCTAGTCACCTTAGCGATGGTTCCGAGTGTAGAACTGGTCGAACTCTAGAACTTCTAGTACACTCTAGCGATGGTTTGTTTGTTTCCTGTTGACTGTGTTATAATTTGCAAAGCCGGAGAAACTACTGACAGTTCGGCATGCGATGAACATGCTGGCCATTTTGTTCTTGGGCGTAGCGTCTGAGCTTAGTCGCGAAAAATGAAGGGAATGACACTCTCGCTTCTCTCTGGTTTCCTCGCGGCGCTCGCTTCCCTATGCGGGAAGTTTTCAATGGCTGGTGGAGAAACTTCAAGCGTTTGTCAAGTTGTCTTCTCGCATTGGTTGTCTGGTCCGTCAGCTCACTACATCTGCGAAAATGTGAGATTTGTTTCTTCCGTGAGCAATAAAGTGAACGCACCTAAACATACTTTTTATATTCTGCTTTGCAGCTTATCACGGTGATACGAGTTGTATTTTTCTTCCTAATGATCGCCTGCAATGCTGTCATGTGGACAGTATTTACAAAGGCATTGCGACTTTGCACAACCACCTTGGAGGCTGCAGTGACCAACACGGCGTCGAACTTTTTCTTCACCGTAAGTTTCGTTCTTTATGTAATACGTACCTGGGCAGGTAGGTGTTCCGGTCCTTGTATGAGATACGCCAGCCTCACGATACATTCATATCGGCTATAACCGCGATATACAGTGCAACACGTTTTTTTTTTTTTTTTTTGATTGAGAAACATTAAGCGAGAAATATAGGCCACCAGGCAAATTTTGCGTGCAGCCGTTTGGTGAATAAAAAACAAACAAAAAAGCACTAGGTCTGCGCGGAACGCGCAGCACAGTCCCAGCGAAAACCTGAAGAGTGGCTTTTCAGAGCCTTTTCTAAACACTCTTCGGGTAACTGCTACAAGCATTCTGCTGGGTACCCAATACGCCATAAATAATTGTGGTTGGCCAGCATTCACTATGCTATCCTTCGTCATTCTTAGGAGAAGTGTGGTATCTGCTACACACTTGTTCGGAATTTTTGTGCATTTTTTTATGCAGTGGCTGACGGCGATGAAGAATTATGCCTGAAGTAGGTATGAGCTAAAGCTAATAGGTGATCAACAACGAGATTTCTATTGGGTCGGAGCATTGGACGACCCACTCATTACACAATTTGGGTTGTGGTATGACTGGCTGATCCTTTGATGCTGTAAAATGCTTTATTACTCATATTAACACAATTCCTTTACAGACATCAAGCCTGTCTAAGGTCAGTTTTAAAATGAGTTCTGAGCACAGGCGTGGCCACGGTGTAAGAATAGTGTGGGCGTGGCTCAGTGGTAGAATACTGGCCTAGCACGCAGCGAATTAGGGTTCGAATCCCATTGTATCATTCGTGTTTTTTATTTACCGAGTTTTTTTTCTTTTGATACTGGTTATGGACACATGCGGCAGCAGCGACAACTACGGAGCCGTGCGTGACCTGTGTTCTGATCTCATAACAGCTTTCTCTGTAAAACTTGCATGTCATGCAAACATAGAAAATGCATACAATTAGTGGAGGCAATAATGCTGCTGTGGAGTGGTGAGTTGTTATACCTACGTATATTGATCTAATATGTAGCCAATTTGACTTGAAGATTCTTGCTTGGAAGTGGTTGAGTGCATAGGAGTTTCGGTGTGCTGTTTGCTCGTCAAATATATTGATTGTAAAAGTATACCTTATGGTGGTCATAGGAGCAGCTACTACAGCTACTAGACACCATCATTGCTGCTTTTGCTCTTTACCCTTACCTTATTTTGGCTCGCAATCCATGCACCTGTTGCAGTGGCCTAGTGGTTATGGCACTCGCTTGCTGACTCAGAAGATGTGGGTTTGTTTCAGGCTGCGGTGGTCGCACTTTGATAGAAGTTGAAGTGCTAAAGGTCGACACATTGTACAATGTCAGTGCACTTTAAAGAATGCAAGGTGGTCAAAGTTATCCAGAGCCCAGCCACTATGGTATCACCCAGAGCTTCATACAATTTAGAACATCAAACCCTATAAGCTGAACAACCACCAGCACATTATTCACATTCTTCATATTGCTACGCATCGGTGACACTGAGATGAAGACGACAAAGCAGATGCACTGGTGCGAGCTGCTCTGTATCATTGGCGCTGCATGCTTAACCAGCTGTACAGATATTTTTGTGTCTCTTCTTCTCGGAAAATGTTTGGTCGAGCGTGTGATCCCCTTCCTCGCCACAGAACTCTGAAGCAGACGCTTGCGAATTCCAAAGCCGGCGGCGACTATGTTTTGACACGTATCACTGATGTCCTCATGAGCCGTGGCATTACATTACCGCACACCATTCTGTCTGTTGAAGGGAGCTCCACGTGCCTTCCAGTTGTCAATGTCAGTTTAAGACCTCAAGTGCTGCCGCAAGGGATCTTTTTGGCATTGATCTGCACCTTGGAAGACAACGCGCTGGATGTTTTCACGATGGCCGCTCCTTTCGGCCCCTATGCCAATCATCAATCCGACACTTGTTCCGACAGCGCTATTAGGTCATGATTTATTCTACCTTAATGTCACAGCAGACTGCAAGCTCTGCCTGGTTCTGCGGTCCTACATCGATGTTTTCGACATCAGCGGCCATTCATTGGGCAAAGCTACTGGTGTGACCCACCGCGTTAACACTGGTAATAAGCCTCCTATTCATAGGCGTTCATATCGGTGCGGCAACCAAGCGTCACATTATCGAAAATGAGGTCAACAAAATGCTTGCCAAGCACATTATTGAGCCTCCCTACAGTCCTTGGGCATCCCCTGTCATGCTAGTTCACAAGAAAGATGGCACATCGTGTTTCAGTTTCAATTATCAACACCTAAACAAAATTACCAAAAAAAAGCCATGTATCTTCTGCCACCAATAGATGGCGCTCTTGACTGCCTCTATGGGTCGCGCTATATTTTCCCCATAGACCTTCGTTCCAGCTATTGGCTGATTGAGGTAGATGAAATGGACCATGAAAAGGTGGCATTCATCACCCCCGATGGCCTATATCGGTTCAAAATCATGCTCTTTGGCCTTTGTAATGCTCCTGCCACCTTTGAACGAATGATGGACTTCCTGCTCAGAGGCTTTAAATGGTCCCCCTGTTTGTACTACTTGGATGACGTTGTTGCTTTTCACCAACATTTCAAACTCATATAGAGCATCTCTCAGCCATCTTAGGCATCTTCTGTTGCGCTGACCTGTAGTTCAACTCGTCCAAATGTCACTTTGGCAATCACCAGATCACACTACTTGGCAATATAGTAGACTTGAGCGGTGTACAAGCACACCCGGCAAAAATGAGTGCAATCAAAAACTTTCCAGTCCTACGATCTGCAAAGGATGTACAAAGCTTTATCGGACTCTTTTTCTACTTCTGACGCTTCGTGAAAAACTTTGCGTGCATCGCGAGGCCTCTTATGCAGCTCAAGCAAGACCTCCCGTTTTCATGGGACTCAAAAGAGGCTTCCGCCTTCTCGACTCTCATCACGCTTATCACTACTCCTCCGATTTTGGCACACTTCAACTCTGCTGTCTCTACGGAAATCCATACAGGTGTAAGGGCTTGCTCAACAATAACATGGCCATGATTACGTTATTGCATACGCCAGCCGCTTCTTATTTGCCTCTGAATGTAGTTATATCATTACAGAGCGTGAGTGCTTGGCTCTCGTTTGGGCGGTGACAAAATTCTAGCCTTACCTATATGAATGCCCATTTTCGTTAGTTACCGACAGCCACGCATTCTGCTGGCCAAACTCTCAGAAGGATCCCTCACGGCGCCTTGGTCACTGGGCTTTGAGCCTGCTGAAGTTTTCTTATTCGGTCATCTACAAATCTGGCCGCTTGCATCATGATGTCGATTGCCTCTCCCAGTACGCTGTTGACGATCCAGATGACACCGATGCGTCCATGGAGCACTCCGTCTTGTAGCTGTCTGACTTTCTTTGCATTGGGGAAGAACAGAAATGGGATCCACTTCTGCTTGACATCATCAGCCGTACGGCATCTTCCCTAAATGACGCCTCTGTCCATCACTTTGTCCTTCAAAAGGGTGTCTTATAACACTGCAATTTCCGACCTGATAGGCCTGACCTTCTTATTGTGCCTAAGCATTTGTGGTGCTGTGTCCTCTCTGAACTTCATGATGTGCCTACAGCTGGACACCTTGGTGTGTCTTGCATGTACGAGCGCGTATGGTGCTGTTCATTCTGGCAAGGTCTTGCTCGCTGCTGCGACTGGGGAACTTCGTCAGGACTCAGAGTCATGCAAGGGTCAGGGCGAAGACTAACCGAGGAGACGAAGCTGAAAACTGAAACGTTTATTTACAGTATTTACATCGTTAGGTACTAGGATACATGACAGAAGGGAAAAGCACACCTGAGTGTCTCTGCGCTCGCATTTTATACCCTTAGTCTTCCCAAGATTTTCTGCGAAGGAAGACAATGGAGTCCAGGATTCTCCAATAGGATTGTCAGCTTTCACTGCGCTCGAGAATCGCCGTCTTTTACTGGGCTCTCGAAGAGCCAGTCACAACCCCTCTTAGGAAAGGGGGAAGGGCATGCACCGATCGTCTAACAGGGAGGGAGCAGTACAAACAAAAAGCACGGGGCTGGCACGGTGCATTGACCTTGAATTCACGCGCAGAGTTGATCCCTCCGGTTTGGCAAGGTTCAAGGATGACTCATCGAGGAGGCCTTGACACCGGGCAGTCCGCGGTGCGCAGGAAAGAATACTCGAAAGGCACTCCGGTTTCTCCGGCACGTGGTTCATTGTCAGGTGCATTGCGATGACTCCAATAGCGCACAGAAGACTGGTCTTTCTAGGCAGCCTAGACAGCAGAACAGCCCTTTCCAGGTAATTCGATGGCCGTGCGAGCCCAAAGGGCTTGAGGTGAGCCGACAATCTAACGAATCCTCTGTGCTGTTGCTTTGTGGATACCTCCGAAAGTGCGGCAAAATCAATATCCTTCCAGGCATCCAAGCAGGGCCAAGGCACGTGGGCCGATCACAACATCGCTTGGTACGCTGATACGTCGCCACATGTGAGTTGTGTCAACGTTGTAAAACACTGTTGATACTACCCACTGGCCATCTTCAACCAATCGACATACCTGCGGAACCATTTTACCATGTTGGATTAGAACTGCTTGGTCCTTTTCCCCTCATCAACCTTGGGAAACAAATGGATAGCTGCGACTACAGATTATGCTACACGCTACGTTATTACGCGAGCTCTACCAGCAAGTTGGGCAACGGACATCGCTTGCGGGATGTTATATTGATTCACAACACCCTGAGACAACTCCTCACCGACCGTGGCCATACATTTTCATCACAAGTCATCGCCGACATCCTGCGTTTTTGTTCCGCGCAACACACACCGGCCATTGAGTTCCCCCCTCATACCAGTGGCCCCACGGAACGTTTTAACCGTACCCTCTCGAATTTGCTCGCTATGTACGTCTCGCCCGACCATCGAAACTGGGACCTTGCCTTACCCTATGCTACTTTCGCTTACAATTCACCATGTCATGACACAGTGGGCTCTCACAATTCTACCTATTGTACGGAAGAGAGCCTATCACTTGACACAGTTATCTCAGCTCATACCTCGCCCACAAGCGAGTATGCCTGTGACGCGATCGCGTGAGCCGATCATGCTCGTGAGCTCACTTGGCTGACGGCGTCGCAGACAAATCAACATCGTCGGTACAATTTGGAACATCAAGACGTACATTTGACTCCCTGTACCCTTGTACAAGTTACTCTGGTCTCCTCATTGTCGGGTGGGCCTATCAGAAAAACGTTTTTCTTGTTACACTGGACCTTACCGTGTATTGTGTCAAGTAATCCCCGTCACTTGTGAGATCAGCCCCATCTGCCCATCATCATCTGCTGTACGGTCCAATGATGTTGTTCACATATCGCAGCTCAAGCCTTATAAGAGGGCATTTGATAATGACCTTAAATGCTCCGGCACGGTGCCTACGCTGCCGGTGACATTGAGATGTGAGCTAATCTGTATCGCTGGTGCTGTTTGCTTAACCAACTGTACAGATATATCTGAGTCTACTCTTCCGAGCCTCTCCTTCTCGTAACATATTGCACAGATGTTCACCTTACCCTGTATGTGACAAGCAGTATTGCCAATTTTCAACTTGCTTAAGAAACAGAAAGTTGAGGAATCTTGCCAAATGTAGCAAATTATATACTTAATAGAACGCTTGCATTTGCAAAGTTTGCTCAATAGGTTTCCTTTATTTTTGCTGCTGAAAGCATACCCGGCAAAGAGTTTAATTGAACATTTTAGAATTCTTGCACAGTGATGTAGATAATTCATTATTTGATTTGTAACTGTGGATAAGGGCTTTATCGACTGACACCATGATTAGGCTATACAGAGCAACGGAAGCTATGTTATCCTATGCACTAAAAAAAAAGCTTGAGGTCTTCTTTTTATTCATATTATTTATGTCATATTATCCATAGTATTTATTGCTTTGCAATCTCTTATGCTGCCTGGTTATTCTGAAAGGTCTCGTGCCTCCAAAAAAATGCATAATTTATCCTTGGAATGATCTCATAGGCAAGTTCTGGGTGGAGAGGACATAAATGCTCATTAAGAAAAGCCTACTAAGAGGGTAATGTTGTAGCCCTTACCTCAGCATTGCCATGACAACTAGTATATGTCATAATATAATAGTGTATTCTAGCCTTGTCTTGTGTACTTCACTTGTTGACGAAATTTTGAAACAAAGGGCTGTCATGATAGCTGTCAATATTTTAATACCATGCAGTTGACAGTGCGGTAACAAAAAGTGGCATCATCAACATTGTCGATATGTCTTAGTTTGTTGAACTTGAGGATATTTTGTCTATCAGTATAAGTGCATTTAAAGGAGCACTGACATCAAACTTATGCATGTCAAAATTTTTGCATCCACAAGTAGTTATCGACCCCCTAGTAGTGATTCGCGACCCAAAATGCAACTGAGGGATGAATAACTATGTGTTTCATTGATTTATATCACTGTTATTTTGCACCATTCAAAACGGCCGGCAAGGCTGCCGTATGCTAAGCTGGCAGTGCTTCTTTGCGGTCACCTACAGATCGCGCCCCAGCAGACTGCTTCTCCACAGAAAGAATTGATGTGGGGCTCAGACGCTCCGCTAACGTTTCATCTTCTAGGCGCGCACATTCAGGCATGTGTTGTCACCAGCATTGCCATCATCACCATCAAAAGTGTTCAGTTGTGTTGAATACGACAGTATGGAACTTTGAATCATCGTGATTCACGACGTCGTGTATCATTCTTGCCATGATCAGCTCTTTGCAAAACATTGATTTGAAAATCGATGCCATTCCAAGCAGCTACAGGGAAGTGCCCGAGGATGCAGACTTAGTCCATGCTCGCTTGTTTGTCTCACTTAGATTTATTGGGAAGTTTGGTCGTGTACAACATTTCGGCACACTCAAACAAGTCCATGGAATATCGGTATAGCGAATGCACACCAGTGGAGAAATAGAATACATTATGTGTATCATAACAATTCTGTGCTTGCCAGGTTCTTTTGGCCCCATGTATATGGCCTCTTATACTTACGGCTGCAGTAACCAGGTATTGCCATAGGTTGGCGAACTCACTCATGAGTCGACTCACTCAGACTTACTCCTGATCGAGCCATGAGTCTGAAACTGAGTGAGTTCGCCTCAGTAATATTTTGAGTCTGAGTCCGAGTGAGTCCGGTGGAAGAAAATTATCGTGAGTGTGAGTCCAAGTGAGTTCCGCTCAGGAAAAATTTGGTGAGTCTGAGTTTGAGTGATTCCAAGGAGCGAAATATATTTCATGATTGAGTATGAGTTAGCTCTAAAAGTTTTGTCGACCTATGGGTATTACATAGAAGTCTATGGACGAACTAAAACTTGCTATTAACGATATATGTGTGTAACTTTTTAGCAATGATATTTATCTATATGCTACTCCACTTTGATAGCTTGTGGTCGTGTTCACGTGTACTGTATGTGTTATAAAATGAGACATTCATTACACTTTTTCTGCACTTCCAACAACATGACTGCCGATCACAATGGTTCCCCGGCATGCTGACTGATGAGCACAGATCTAATCATCCTCATTTGTTTTGCCTGTCTTTCATGGTGGTTTTTGTCTTGTAATATCGTGAAATCATTCAAAGTGGTCAGACAAAAAGCAGACATGAGGAGTTAGAACATTTCAATAGAAAAAAACCAGGGCTTGAGAGACGAGGACAAGAAAGAACAACAGACCGCGTTCTACCAGTAGCACATCTGTCGTTATTTCTTGTCTTTGTTGCTTAAGCACAGATTTTTTTCTTTCATTATGCAGTACCAACAGGCCCTACATTGTTCACTTTTGGGTGCATTTCCAAGTGTCAGTGCCAGTCAGCGTCACAATAACAATACTGGGATCGTCAACGTCATTGCTACGAGCACATTGTCATTCAGGATGGTATGTGCCGCACTGAACATGTCACAGTAGTGTCATTGTTGCAGGGTGCTCAAAGTATCTTTGAGCTTTTGTATGCTCCTTGCCCTGAAAATAAAATAACTTTCAGGCGAGGGACACCAATCAAACTTGGTCAAAAATACCTAGTACGCATACCGAGCTACCAAATGAAGGACACATCTAGAGCTTAAAATTTTATGTTAGTGCACTTTTAAGCATTGTATGAGCAAGTACTATTATCCTTGAAGGGAAACTAAGCAGGTTTGGAGTATATGTGCTTTTTTTGGCATCACTAAAGCTTGGAATGAAAATTGTATTCCCTCCTTGCCAGCACACTCTCTGATGGATATCTTCACTTTCTTGGAGCCAGGTGCTGTAACTAAATGAAAAGTGTGTAATGACTCAATAAAACTTTTTGTTGGGCTAGTTGGTACGTGCTTACTGAAGTAACTATTTTTCCTTGATAGTATGCATATTTTTGTATTTCAGCATGTGATGACTGTTTTGCTTATTTTAAAAATTGCAATGCTATATTGAAATCATGTGCTCTTGTACCACTGAAAAGATGGTTTATGTGATTTTTTTTTATGTTGCTGAATACCTTTGCATCTATGGCTGATTTCTTGGCACTAAAAAAATAACTGCTCATGGCACCAAAAAATTATTGAGAAATTTGTTGCAGGCTGTTTTCGGCCAGACGTTGTTTGGTGAGCAGCTCACACTTCTCTGGTGGCTCGGAACTGGGATGATTCTTTTTGGCCTGCTGATGATGCACCAAGCAAATGTGGAGACCGAAGCTAAGCACCCAGTGCAAGGGCTTGTTCGCCAGAAAATCAGCTGAATGGGGGATATGGGGCACCACTTGTGATGCATGGACAGCTGTGTCGATAACTGATTTTGCACTGCTTACCGTTTTTTCATCTTCAACATTTTTTCTATAAAAAATAATGATGCCAATGTGTTCTACTGACGCATGCAATGTTTTAGCTAACCTATAATTTGAAATACAGACTGGTGACGTGAAAAGATGATAGTCAACTTTGTATCTGTTATTATAATCTGGAAACTGTAGTAGCCTTTTGTTCTTTTTTTTTTTCATACTGTGGTACACGTAGAGTTGTATGGTTCCTCTGGGTCTAGCATGGGGATGAAAACTGCTCTGAAACAGTTGTGTTAGAATTGTTTTGGGCGATGGTGTATTTTGATGTGGCTAATTTCTTTTTGGGGTGTCGTATGTACTAAAGAGGTACAAGGAGTGCCAACACAATAATTTAAAGTGAAGGTTGAAAACCATGAAACCCTTACTGACAACACTCTCAGTGTTTTTGGTGATTTAATAGAGTAGCTTTATCATGGCCAATTTCAGTCTTGCTTTCCAGGAGTTCACTGTGCCACAATGTCATGATACACAAGCTGGCCTATAGAAGTAGGACACCTCAATATGTTGGCTCTTCCTGTAGCTCACACAGTTGTCTCCTGGTGCTATTTGTAGTGAGGACTGATGTAGCAGCATAGCAGATGACTGAGCACCACAATACAGAATCCTTCAGTGCACCTTTAAGGTAGGTGCTGTAGGATTTTTATCATTTGCCATCATATTTTCGGCCCACTCTACTTTACACTGGCATCTAGTTAACGATTATGTCCACATTTAGTTGTTACTAGTGCCTAGCATCATGTCCTGATGCCGAAAACAATTGCTAAGGTTACTTTCAGTATGTTAACTAATACGTACTTAATTCAGCCTATTAGAAGCTCCTTGTAGTTGAAATCGGTGTCACAGTGGGGTAATACACAGTGCAGTGTGCTCACGTTTGTAATGTCCTCGGTTCAAATCATGCATATTGTCAGTTTTTTTTTGTTCCTTTGTTGTTCAATAAAAGGAAATTTATATTATTCATCGTTAACATTACTGCTTCACTAGAACGTAGAAAATTAAAGCTTCAAAGGACTCATGATTAAAAAGAAAATGTTGTCAGTGCCTGTGGTGGGCACGTTAGTGCTAACCAGTGATGACCCTTGCTATGGCAGTAGTGACACTGGAAAAGCAGTTTGAGCACTGAAAGTGCACTGAAAGTGGTTTGAGCACTGAAAAATGCAAAATGTCAAAACGAACAATTAAAATTCATTTGCTTGTCCAGTGGTTTACTTTCATTCCTCGTTTCCTTGTCAGCATTTTTTTCTGTAAAATTTTGAAGAAGAATTGCTTAAAAGCCAGTACTGCTGCACAACAGTGAAAAGAACATGCTAGTCGGTATTTGAAAACTTGATACCACATCAGTTGACACCAGTTTAGTGTGTCATTTGAGTTATGAAGTTTTTAAGTACATAAGGTCATGGGCATGTGACTTATGTTAAGCACTCCTTTACTGATGGAAAAAGCTTCCATTGTTTCTCAAGTGAATGTCTACATTTCAGCCAACCTCAGAGTTATCTTGGACATTCTTTTGAAACTATGACTTACTCTTATATGCTTGCAATGTTGTGGTCTCATGCTGCCTTTAAGTATGTGTGCTTGAGCCAATGTTGTAGATATGTTAACTAGAAATCAGTGGCACTCTTGGATGCTACCATGTATTAAAAAAAAAAGTGTCCTGGCTTTACTTTTCAGTAAAGAAAACATATGTTTGATCCAAATGTTCCAGGTCGGTAAACACAATTGACTCGTTATTTATTTAAAATGTCTTGTTTAGTTGGCAATTATGTGTTGAAATTTTGTTTTAGCAGGTGAAACAGTAAGACCAGTAGAGTTTGTGGTTGTATGAATTCAGAGTATTTTCTCTCTAGTCTGTACTCACTTTCAAAGTAAATTAACTGAGGAAATAACTGGAACTAACTTTTGTGAGATAATGAGTCAATGTGGTTGTCCCTTGTTTTCTAGCACTAACCGAAAAAGCTTGACAGGAATACCACTGCTTAAACTGTTGCTTGGGCGAGTTGGTTCATGATCATTTAGACTGATTTATCAGCCCAAAAAAGATGGGACAATAAGAAACACACACACTGCAAGTGTCTTTCTAAATGTCCTGTCTTTTTTGCACTGATAAATCAGTTTAAATGAAGGAATACCATCAAGTTAATGTCAGTTCTGGGGGATTTTTATATCGTGGTTTTTTTATTTATTTCTTTTAAAGTTTAAAGGTTTGATTTGTTTTAGCTATTGCTTGATTGATGAGGTTTAGTGTCCTCAAACAATTTAGAGCTGCTGTGAATTAGCTTTGAATACCTGTGTTTTTCAAGTATGTCCAAGTCCTTATGCATGAGTGTATACTATTGTTACCCCCCCCAACCCCCCACACCATAATTTAACTTCCATTAGTCCAACCTTTTATCTACTGAGTAGCTTAGTTTCACCTCTGTATAAATGAGCATAACACTTGTCCTGATCTGTTTCTCAACAGCTTTCTTGCATTGTGCTGCAGTGTTGATAAAAGAACACATGCCATGTGTCTTATGTGCTTTGCTTATTTGTGGCGTACATAGCAAGAATATTGTTTACTAAAGTCTGTGAGATATTTAGAACAGTCTCATTAAATGGAACCTGATCGGAGAAGTAAAATATTGTCACGTGCTTGTCAAAAAGAAAGACAATGGCAATTGTGCATGTGCCATGAAGGATAATGAAATGGATGAAAAAGAACTCTCTTGCGCATTCTATTAAAAAGACCAACCTGATTCTGGTGTCTCAATCTCTGCGGCAAGACCTCTGTTTCGACGTCGCGCCACTGGTGGAGGTGCTGGAGCCTACAACCTGATGCAGGACAATCTTGCTTGGACCCGTTCACCTAGTCCAGAGACTCAGCCCATCGTCACGACTCCAGTGCACCGATTCAGTCGGCGCCTACTAGGCCTAAGTCCGGAGTCCGCACTTGTTCCGCCTCTTTCCAGCATGGCATCTCCTACGACATCCACGGTTATTCTACCATCGCAGACCACTCTTCCCTCGCAGGTGACTCTTAAACATCCTCGGGTTACTGAAGTTTTCCGTGGGGAAGAGTACGAGGATGTCGAGGACTGGCTCGAACAGTTCGAACGGGTCGCTGTATCCAACCACTGGAGCGAACAGCACAAACTTGGCCGTGCATATTTCGCACTGGAAGATAGCACTCACTCGTGGTACGAGAACCGCGAGGCTACATCCCAATTTTGGGAAGATTTCCGTCGAAAGCTCCTCGCTGCATTTTTGAACTCGGACCGACGGGATCGCGCACAGCAACTGATTGAGGCCCTCGTGCAAAAACCCAATGAAACAGCCGCCATGTACGCAGAGGGTATGATCCGTCTGTTTCGACGAGCTGACCCTGACATGCTCGAGGGGAAGAAGGTGTGTAGGTGTGTCATCTAATGCAGGGTGTTAAGGAATCAGTGTTTGCGGGCCTAGTACGAAATTCACCTACAACAGTAGATGAATCCATAAGAGAGGTCATTGAGCGCGTACTGTAACAACGATGCTGACACTTTGACCGCCTGCCGAACCACATGGCAGTAAGCGCTGCAGCTCAGAACACTGCCGTATGCGAAAGTTCCCTGCGACAAATGATTAGTGAAATACTGCGTGAGAAACTTCGGGCCCTCTGCATTTCCCCTACCCAACCGCCAGTCGCATCTGTTGCCGAAATCATCCGCCAGGAGTTGAGGCAAGCCATTACACCACCCGCGCCAAGTCCTGAGCCACATCCAGCGAGCTACGCTGATGTGGTCCGTCGCCCTCCACCGACATTTGTGGCGACGCCCTTCCAGCCACGACCCGCTGCCGTACCTTGGTGGCAACGGGATTATACAAGACGACCACCAGTTCGCCGAATTGACCTATGGCACATGGCCGACCGTCGACCTATTTGCTTCCGCTGCGGAGAACCCGGTCACATTGCCCACTATTGCCGTCATGGCGATTCCGGGTTCCGGAACTTTTCTCGTCCCGCTTCTTTCCGCTCTGAAGACCGTCGTGCTCACGATGCCGATTAACTGTCGCCTGGCCAAGCAACCTCACCGCGTCGCTGGCGATCTCCATCACCTGCGTGTCACCGTGACTTTCCTCAGAGCTACGCGGACGTCACCAGAGGCCATTCGTCATGCCCGAGCCAGGGAAACTAACTGCTGCAACCTCGGGGGTAAGGTTGCCAACCGTCGAGATACTGAAAAGTTCCCCCTATCATCGCAAGAAGGTATGACGACAACGACGATGAATACGACGACGAATACTAATGCCGATGAAGTTGTACGTGCCGATCTTAGTGTTCTTATCGACGGACATCATGTTAAAGCACTGGTCGACACTGGCGCCGACTTCTCAATCATACGACAAGAGCTCGCCGACCGCCTTAGAAAGGTAAAGACACCGTGGACAGGGCCGCTCATAAGGAGTTCTGGTGGTCAGCTGATGACTCCCACGTGTAAATGGACTTCACATCCGGGATTCTAGCTTCGTGGCCACTTTCGTCCTGTTGCCAGACTGCTGTAAAGAGTTAATTTTGGGCATGGAATTTCTTCAAGATCGTGGTGCTGTTATCAACATCCCTCAACATATGGTGACATTTTGCGCTCATCCGTATGCCGACAACAGCAGCGACGAACTATGCGACCGTTTGCGAATAGCCGGCGATGTGACACTCCCACCGAGATACTGCTGCCTTGTGTCGGTGTCCAGTGGGTGGTCTTGCTATAAAGATGTGATAGCGGAGCACATAGTCGCTCTTTTGTTCACGCAAGGCATTTCCATCGTGAGGGGCGTCCTGGCGCTTACTGGTGGACAGGCAGAAGTGATCCTCACAAACTTCAGCAGCGAGCGCCGTCAAATCCAGAAGGGTACCGCAATCGCCTACCACGACGATGTAGACCAAGCCGGGGTTTGTTTTGCTTTGCAACCAGATGACGCGACTGTCCCCGCCTCGACAACTTTGTCGGTGGACATCTGCTTCACGCTACCGCCCTCTGATAGGAAGTGCCTGCTTGAACTTATACATCACTTCGAAGACTGCTTTTCGTGTACGTCAAAGGTCCAGCAAACACCATTCACCAAGCACCGCATCATTACTGAAGACAACACGCGACCGATTTGGCAGAATCCCTACCGTGTGGCTTCGAAAGAGTGCGAGGAGATTCAGAAGACACAAGATGCTCGCGGATGACGTCATACAATCTTCGAAAAGTCCCTTGGGCGTCCCCCGTGGTTTTGGTCAGAAAAAAAAAGACGGCAGCTTGCGCTTCTGTATTGATTATCGCAAGTTGAACCAAGTGACGAAGAAAGACGTCTATCCGCTGCTCTGCATAGACGATTCACTCGATCGGCTGCGTCATGCGCGCTATTTCTCTTCAATGGACCTCCGAAGTGGCTACTGGCAGATAGGAGTCGACGAGAGAGATCGTGAAAAAACTGCCTTTGTGACGCCCGATGGCCTTTACGAATTTAAGGTGCTTCATTTTGAGTTGTGCTCGGCGCCAGCCACTTTTCAGCGTCTCGTGGACACCGTACTATCAGGCCTGAAGTGGCCAACATGCTTGGTCTATCTGGACGATGTTATTGTATTCTCAGCAACATTCGAGGAACATCTCAACCCTTTATTCACCGTCCTCCAAGCCATACGTTAGGCCGGCCTTACTTTAAAACCGGAAAAATGTAATTTTGGTTTCAACGAACTCGGCTTCCTAAGCCACGTCGTCAGTCACGAGGGTGTTCGACCTGATCCGGCCAAAATAGACGCCGTAGTGCGATTTCCTGCACCCCGCGACAAAAAGGCTGTGAGACGCTTCTGAGGGTTGTGCGCCTATTACCGGCGATTTATCGAGGACTTTTCATCTATAGCGGCGCCATTGACACAACTCACACGTGAGGACGTCCCCTTCTTTTGGGGTGAACAAGAGCAAATGACATTCAATGAACTACGACAATGCCTGCAAACACCTCCAGTCCTTGCGCACTTCGACCAGGAAGCCCCTAAAGCACTTCACACTGACGCCAGAAATGTAGCTCTGGGTGCCGTTATGGTGCAGTGGCAAGACGACTGTGAAAGAGTGATAGCCTACGCTAGCAAAACTCTCTCTCGTACGGAGAACTACTCGACTACCGAGAAGGAGTGTCTTGCCGGGGTGTGGGCGGTCATGAAATTTTGTCCATATTTGTACGGCCGCTCCTTCAAGGTTGTTAGCGACCATCACTCTTTGTGCTGGCTCACCAACCTTAAGGATCCATCTGGCCGTTTGGCGCACTGGAGCCTAAGGCTTCAAGAGTTCGACATGACCATCATCTATAAATCTGGGAAGAGGCACACCGACGCCGACTGTCTCTCACGGTCGCCAGTGGAAACTGTCGCTCGTGATGACAAAAACATCGACGCGGCATTCTTTGGGAGTTGTCAACACGGCCACTATTGCATGGGAGCAGCGCAGTGACCCCGAGCTGTTACCACTCATTGAATATTTAGAAGGACGTCGTAAAGACGTGCCACGGTTATTTTCCAGAGGACTGCCATCTTGTTGCTTGCGAAACGATGTTCTCTATAAGAAAAACTTCTTACCACCGGCAACCCGCACTTGCTTGTCGTGCCTGCCTCTCTTCGAAAAGAAATTATGAAAGCGTGCCATGATGAAGCAACTTCTGGTCATCTAGGCTACACCCGAACATTGTGGCGACTACGATGCAAGCACTACTGGCCAAAGTTACCTGCTGCTGTTAACCATCACGTGCGATCTTGCACCGACTGCCAAAGACGCAAAGCACCCCCCAGCAAGCCAGCCGTTGAAGCCATTCACCCAGATTGGCATGGATTTCCTGGGTCTTTTTCCAGCTTCCAAAACAGGGAACAGATGGATTATTGTGTCCACCGATTATCCGTCCCGTTATGCAGAGACTAAAGCTATGCAGCGCGGCACAGCAGCAGAAGCCGCTCAGTTCTTCATCGAAAACATCGTCCTTCGGCATGGC